ATCCTAAAAACATAACAGTTTTCGAAGGCGGCTGATTCTTTTCTTCAAAATTTTGCCCTCTCCTTCCATATTTTTCTCTTTATTTATTTCTTTTTTAATTGTATGTTAACTCTTTAGTTAAATTTAGGCTGGTAGTAGTAATGCATTACGGCAAACTATAATAGGGTTGTCTCGCTTAGAAAAGATTCCTGCGTGGAAAACTTTTTAAGGAAAACTAGCTTGTATTCATATAATGGATCATGCACAAGGGCAGACCCCGGGCAGGCATTTCATTATTCATCGGGGTGATCTACTAACATTCAGGGTACCTGTACAAATGTCAAGGGTTCAGTACATGATGGCAACATCGAACTTTCTAACGAATTTGCAAATGGAACGTATAGAGTTGCAGTCGGACTCGTAAATATAAGAAAATATATACAGGGTGATCCAAAACTCGCGCCTATCAAACTTTCAAATATTGTAGAAATTGTGATTGCATTGTCTCATCCCTCTTGCCTTATGACCAAACCTGTTGAGAGGATTTTCGGCTAGCCAGCATTTTGAATGCTGCCATGCCACAGAGACATTGTGCTCTTACAAATGTCCAAACTTTCTCCAGAGACCCGGGCTCTAAACCACTAGTGGTGGTGGCAGGGTGGCTCTGTCTTAATGGTTCTCGGAGTAGACTTTTCTAGATATTTTGTGGAATCGTACAAAGTAAGCTTTTACTTCCTACTGAAAACTGGCAGAAAACCAGGCTTAGATTGGCGTTGGTTTCATTATATATAATGCAAAATAAATTTAAAAGACTGCGTTTAAAATTCATCTCATATTCTGTTCGGAATTAACATAAGCAAAAATTTAAAAAATAAAATAAATAAATTTTAAAAAAAGGGCAAAACATGCCAAAAACAAAAAATGAAATAAGGAATTTAAATCTTCCCCCGAATTTTCATCGGAGTGTTGGTACAACGAAAGATGTAAATAAAGCAGACTATTTCTGAACCTTATAAAGACACAAATTAATGTTTCAAACTTAAAATAATCTTAAGAAAAACAAAGTAATCTTTGTCTTTATCAGTCCCACCATATTATTTTGACTTTACAGGCACAGATTAAGACACAGATTACTTGGATTCTTTTCTAAAATTTATTTAAAATTTTATTATATATATTATATAAAACTTTTGTTGCTCTTATGTTACAGGTTTTTTAAGAACTTGCTTTTCTACGTGTTATCTTATTTTTGCATATGTTGGATTATTTCTGTTTTACATGTTTTTGGACTCTGTCCACTAAAATTTAAAAAAAAAAAAAATAATAAATAAATAAATAAAATAAAATAAAATAAAATAATAAAAAAAATAAAAATAAAAAAACTATTAGATTTCTAACTTTTTGCTTGTTTACGAATTCTGCTTTTATTTTATACTTTAATGTTAATGCGTTAAAGTGCTTTTATTTATATTTTTATTTATTTTATTTAAAGAGCTTAATTAATAAAATAAAAGCATCTCATGTGCTTATTATTGTGCTTAACCCGGCCTGTATGCTTTCAAAATTTGCATTTAGTTTTGTTTTTCAAGTTTTGAGTTAAGAAAGTTTTGCATATGATTTTGTTTTTATAAGTGTTGGATTATTATTTCTGCAAGTCTTGTTTTTCGACTCGATGTACTGAATGTTTTTTAAAATAACTTTTCTATTTTAAATCCCTCTTTCTTTCTTTCTTTCTTTTTTTTTTATGTTACAATAAATGCAGTTCTTACTTCGGCCTGTAATTTTATATTTTTTTATAGAATTTTCATTTTTATTTTTGCATGTGTTGGATTACTTCAGTTTTACATATTTTTGGATTCGATTCACTAAAATAAAAAAAAAAAAAAAAATAAATAAATAAAAAATTAAAAAAAAAAGATTGTTCAGTTTTTTGCTTGTTTAAGAATTTTGTTTTTATTTATTAACCCGGCCTGTATGTTTCCGAAATTTGCAGTTAGTTTTGTTTTTCCAGTTTTGAATTAAAATATTTGCGTATGTTTTTGCTTTTTGAAGTGTTTGATTATAATTTTTGTAAATTAGGTTTCGGGCTCGATCTACTCATTTTTTTTTTTTTTTTTTTTAAATTTGTTTATTATTTAGCAATCGTGTTGAATTTGTTTCTTTTTTTTGATGCTACAATTTTTGCACTGCTTACCTCGACCTTTAGGTCTTGGAATGATAAAGAAACAGATTACTTTGATTGCTTTTCTAAGATTATTTTTAATTTTAAATTTTAATTTGTGGCCTTGTCAGTTCAGAAACAGCTTATTATTTATTTCGTAGCATCAACCCTCTGATGACGATGCAGCGAAAAGATGTAAAAATCTTTTTTTTATTTGGAGAAGGCAAATTTGGCCTTCCCCCCATTGCTTGAAATTTGCCACTGTGTGCATCTGTTTTTGGTTTTTTGGTTCTGCAATAGATTTTAAACGTGTTTATTTTTATTTTATTTTGCATTATTACCACCAGTTGTGTCTGCTATCATCGCACAATTGGATTGGGTTTTGAACTGTTTTATACTTTGCATTTATTGTATATATATATCTATCTAGAGAGAGAGAGAAATAAGATATATATTTACGTTATTCAAAGACCCAGAGGGAAAATGATAGTCATTAAAATGCATAAAAATATAAATGAAAAATTAAATAAAAGTAATAAATTTTCACCAAAGTTTAAGTTGAGCAGAAAAGGAAGGCAACTTGTTATAAGGATTTTTGAAAATGAAAGTTTTAGCCACCGAAATTGCGAAGAAACCTAACTGAAAAAGCTAAAGCATTAGTATTTTAATGATTACCGTTTTTTCCTGTGATCTTTGGAAGTAGTAGATTTGCTTATTTAATTAAAGTTTTAACTGAAGCTGATTTAACGCTTTATTATATTATTGAGTGTCCTGATTTTTTTTTGTCATTTTTAAAATTAAATTTTCATTTCATTTCATACATGCATATATATATATATAATCGATGTAAAAAGAGTTACACTTGGGTCTGGCATACTCCAAGGGCATTTTGGAGGGGGGGGGAGTTCGAGAAAAAAAGGGCGATTTTTCTTTTTTTCATTGCAACCAACGCTAGTTTAAGTTTTAATTTAACATCTCGTATTGGCATGATCATCCCTGTGCTTTTATGATGTTCCTACCAAAAGAAAAAAAAAAAAAAAAAAAATTACAGTGCTTAACGAATATTTCTTGTTTACAGCGTCTCTTTGAAGTTATGGACATTTGTGACTGCAACTTTTCTGCGGTTTGAAATATTCAGAAGTAAAATAAGATCATGAATTTTGGACAAAAATCAAACATATCTGCCAGTTTGTATTATTAAATTGTTACCAATTTGATACTTCCGCTGTCGTAACTGTATCATCATTTGAAAGGCATTGAAGGAGGAAAAAATGGGCCTCGAATTTAACCGACGCCTCATCAAATTGAAAATGGCTTTCAAAAATTTTTATTGAAGTTTTTGTTTCATTTTTTCTGACGGGTATGAAATTTCGCTAAATATGAGTAAAGGAAACGGAGAAAATTATAAAATGTTAGATTTCGTAGTTTTTAAAAAATTAACATCTTTAAATTTAAAAATGCCAAAATATGAATATTTGTGTCACTGAAAACACTTTTGCAAATGGAAGGTTGCGAAAACGAAGGCCGGGTAAAGACGTTAGAGGACACGATGCATAAATTAATTATTGTGTGATTGTATTAAATTAATTAGTAATATTAAAAATGGATTTATTGAGCATTTATTACTTATTCATAAAATAATTATCAATATAAGTAGTCAGTAGCATATTTAAATTTTTTATGCTAAAACTTATATATGTAAACAGTTAAACTGTAGCATTTGTACAGTATTAACAATAATAGTTTATCAATAGAATTGATGAGTATGGTGAAGCGTTTGTAACTCATCAATATCAGAATTTAGATATGTTAGTACTTGTCGTGAATTACCATTTTCAGCGATTTAAAGGCGATTTATTTGCTTATCAAAATTATTTATCAATATTAATGTAGTGCGCTAAACATTTTTCCTCTGAATGTAATCTTGGAGATATTATTTGGGCTTCGGTGAAGTTGATTATGGCAAAGCACGTAGATCTATCTGCCTAAGGGGAGGGATGCCTTCGTGGAGGACTTTCTAAGGGAAATTGGCTCGTTTACACGTTACGCATGAGAAAAACCGCGAAAACGCCTACGCAGCCTGCCCTTTTGCCTGGAATCGAACCCAGGTTAGAACTATCAGTGTTCATTGAATTTACCTTTTATGTTGCTGATATGTTGAAGTCGTTCGATGAATTTGTTTAATCTTTAAGTATCATAAAATTATTTCCACCTCTTCTCGACTCTGAGAACCCTAAGCTTCTTGCCTGACGTTTTGGTGGATAGTTGAAATGCCTCAGGGGAGCGATATTGCTCACTTTGAGAATCGTTAATCTAAAACATACATTTATCGTTTTCTGAAATGCGAGATAAAAACATGTATATTTTGTAGTATTTATAATTTGCTTGATATTCAGTATGATGTTAATGTACATGTACAGTTGAATTCATTTAGAATAAATAGCAATTCTGTATAACTGCTTAAGAAGAGATAAATGTTGTCTCTCTCTCTCTTTTTTTAAATGTCTGGATTTATATATTGAAATCTTGTGATTCTGGAGTTATTTATTGAATAATTTTAGTCTGATTATCAAGAAAGCATTCACAGTTCTTGTTTCCACAAACAGTCAAACCGTGTGTAGAGAATAATTTAAAGAAAAAAATGTCGAGACTTTTTTTAGTTTCTAACTATAACATAAGTATTACATTGATTCAATTGGGGTCATCGCGTACGTCGCCTTGTCTTGGCTTTGAAAAAGAAAGGGGGGAAATTCTGCAACTATTCGTCATTTGAAATTACGTGAGCAGGTTATTTTTAAAGCAAGGAGGATATTTGCCAGAGAGCGGCATGGGGGTTGAAAGCCCTTCACACTTCCCATCGTCCTCCTCACCCCTTAGTTTCCCGCGTTCCAATTTTGCAGACACTTTTCGACCCGCGCCGAAACAGGCTGCGTTCGAACGAAACGTTATTAAGCGTCCATCCGAAAATGAGTTTTTAGAAAGTAATCATCGACGTCGGTGTGATGTGGTGGGTCGAAGATGCAACGTTCTCGCACAAAGCTTTCTCTCTGCGTTTGTCGACGCACGTTTTTATAAAGTGCCGACCGTAACCGAAAAGGAAAAGCTAAGTTGGTCTGGCGCCTCTCGCAACAACTACACCATCCCAGACACTTGGTTTTTTAAAGTGGACGCAACGCTGCACGAATTTAATGTATTTTTTTCTACCCTCTTGCGCATTTTGTCGGGAAGTATGAGCATTGTGTCAACTTTATCAGCGTTCTCTTAAGAGCAAAAGGTGAAATTGCATACATTACTTCGGTGATCCCATTGCAACTGCCAGTAGTGAAAATTATTGCGTTTTTGTGGAGACTTAAATTCTTTGTAAAATATCGGCGCATTTGTTATGAAAAGCCGCCCTGGCATGGAAAATAAGGTAACACCAGAAAATGGTGTGAAATCTTCTGCCGGAGTGCGAATTGTACGAGAAAAACAAGATGGTGAAGATACAGATGATGATGATGATGAAGATAGGGATGAACCGGCCACAGTGACAACATCAGTTGCTGACTCTTGTTCTGCCTCTCATGAGTTTCAATGGTTAAGTCCTGGATCCCAGGGCATGACCTATGCCCATCTTGAAAAAGTTAATGAAGCTACAGCTTTTGCAGAAATGCAGTCAGAGAGACAACCATCTATAACTGTTGAAGAATCTGGAACTGCATCTTGTCAAGTTTCACCTGCTAGGTCATCTCACCATCGGACACATAAATCTCCTGCTCATGTGTGGCCTCGTAGATCCACTGATATTGGAGAACATATACAACTGTCGCCTAGCCCTTGCCATGAATTACATGGATGTCGCCGCCACTTGTCTCCAATGCGCTCCTCTTGGTGTTGCCCTTCTCCACCACCACATGCTTTGTGCTTACATCACCATGGAGGGAGTATTCTTTCAAGCCTGGAACTTCTTCCTTATAGCAGGGATTGTTATGGAACTGAGATGTCATTGTGGCCTTACCATAATTGTTCATGCCTTCCTCCAACTGGCTTACCATCATCTCGCTATCAAGAAACTCATACGTCATGCCGTAATGCTTCCCCACATCATGAGATCCTCAGGAGGGAGTCTTCCTCACCCTGTGCAATGCACAGGCCTTGTCAAGGCTTAGGGGGATCTCGCAGATCACGCTCTTCTAACTCTAAAAAAAGAGATTGCTCTCCATCTGCAATGTCCCCTCGATATTCTCCTGTTCAGGGTGAACAGATTACATCTGTTCGACATTTAAGTCATGATCAGTGGCAGGTAATTTTTCTCATAAGCTCCTTTTAATATTTTGGTTGCATTATCTTTTGTGTTGAGTATTAATAAACTGTATTTTAAATTTATATATGCTACCAACTGTTTGATTTCCATGTGTTAGATGTTTAAAAAAATACTTGCATTCATCTCTTCTGTGCTGTATGACTTGCTTAAATATATATATATATATATATAGTATTTAAGGAAGTTTTAGATTTTATGCCTATATATGATTATTATGACATAAGTAGTGGCTGTTTCAACATAATAAATTTCTGGTAGTTAGGTATTGCAAGCAATGTGACAGATCTTTCTGAGTATGTTAATAATTAATGTTACTGTGAAGAAAGAAAATTTTGCTTTGCCTTTATCACAAAACTTAAATCCAAAAGCAGGAAATTTAATTCAAGAAGAGATACTTTTTTTTAATGTTAATTTATTCTTTGTTATAAATAATGTGCATCAAAATTATATATATGGGATTTAATTTATTGACTTCACTATTTTGCGTGTGGGGAAATGCTCATAATTATTTTTAAAAGACATGAAAAAGGGTTCATCATTATAATAAAAATCCTTTTAAATAAAAAGTTTTGCCCACTTTTACATTGTTTTATGTCCATGCAATTTTGTATTTCTTATTCTTATATTAAAAAAAGATGTTACTGTTTATGATCGCCGAATTTTTATTCGATTATTTTTAACAGAACAGCATGCTTTATATGTTTGATTTTTTTTTTACCCCCAAATACTTTAGGTGCCTGTTCATTCTGAAGATATTGGTAGTTTACAGAAAGTGCAGGAATTAGAAAGTGATAAAAAAAGTTTGCTTTTACAGGTTAGAAAATTTAAATATAATATATATATGTGTGTGTACATGTATATGTACTTGGATAGTCAGGGATATAATTATAGGTAATCCTTTAAAAATTTTCATTTCAAAAGATTGATGCTGTTTTTAAATTTTTGGCAGGCAAGTGTATTAGCAGATCAAGTTGAAGCCCAGGCTGATAAAATTAGTGAATTAGAAAGGCTATTAGATCAAAAGAAGGAGGAATTAATTCATCTTGAACAAAGTTTGCATCAGGTAAGTTAACAATAGTTTTATGTCAGCAGATATCTTTATTTAAAATGCAATTTACAGAATTTTATTTGGTTATACTATCCTGAGATTAAACAGTGGTCTTTTTTATTCTGAATGGATTAAAAAAAATTATAATCCATTAAATAAATAAACAGGTTATTGCAATAAAGTATATATTTTGTTATTAAAATTTCAGTTTGAGATTTTCTGAGAGTTTTTTTTAAAGGAATTCGATGATTCCTTAGTGTATGTTGTTATGCAAATGAAATGTGTTAATGCAAGTCATTAGCATTGTTTAAAAAATGGAGTTTACAAATTAAAGATTTTCTTTTACGACATTTGCTGTGGAACTGCAACTATTAATATAGCCATCTGTCTGGAAATCCAGTTGTCTTGCTACATCTGAGTAAAATTGTGTTGTTTATTTATGTTTTTTTTAATTTATTTTACTTTTATTTATTTATTTTTTTTTTAATTTTTAATAGTATGAAAAGGAAACATAAAGCAGAAGCATTTAAGAAGTTATTAATTTATATAAATGTGTTCAGTTGGTAGACTGGCTACAATGTTCAGCAAGTAACTAACAGGCAGCAATTAAAAAGCAGTTGTGTCCTGTGTATAGGTCTGCTTTCTCCTTGCTTTACTGTCTTTAGTTTGCAATTAAAAAATGTTGGCTTGTTTCTTTGTCCAATAAAGAGAGAAATGTTTAATTTTAAGGCCAAAGTAAGAAAGTAAAAATGGATTTGATTGTTCTGTTTTAATTGAAATGAAATTGGGCTGTGTGTTTCACAACCAGGAAAAATAATTTCATTGCTCTTTTTTTTTTTTTTTTTTTTTCCTATTTTCCTTCAAAACTTTTCCAGTGTCGCTGACTTCACAACATTAATGTGCAGTTTTTTTAAGTTCACCGGTTCACAATGTTCAACTGTTTATCAGTTTTGAATGTAGCCACTGTTGTAGAGTTACTGGCAAAGGACATGCAGCTCAATTATGAGATGAATTTGATTTCAGTTTTTTTTTTTTTTTTTTTTTTTTTTTTTTTTTTTCAATTGTGCAATGAGTAATTTCTGGGCATTTTCAAAGTGAGAGACAAAAACTTGCTCGGATTTCATGTGTGATGTCACTAGCAGCTCTGCGTTTTAAAATTTTAATTAGAAAAAAAAATCAAATAATAATTTTGGATAACTATGTTTGGATAGTACTTCATTGAATATTTTGCTACTTGACTGCAAAATGTACTTAGAACAATTGTGTTTACTGCTGCTGTTTTTACTAATATATGCAGGAAATGCTAGCTCGTTCTGCTGTTGAAAGTAGTAAGTTAGAACTGATGGCCGAGCTTTCAAACCTCAGGTTACGTCTGACTGCATCAGAGCGAGATAAGAAAGAAAATGAAGTCAAATGCCGAAAACTAGAAGTGAGAAATTTTTGTGTCATAAGTTTGCTTTTCTGTATATATTACAAGATATTTAAATTGCTATTAGGTAATAAATTTATCCCCAAAAGTTTATTAATAAAATTAAAAACATTTTCCAGAGCGAACTTCATTTGCTTCAAGCTCGGCTTTTTGAGCAAGAAGCTGAACATGCAGCTTTACGTGGCAAGTTATCTCAAAGCGGGATGCCTATGTTATCTGGTAATCAAAGTAAGTTTATTTGCATATGTTTGCTATTGCTCATGTGGTGAATTGACACATGCAATTGCATTCTATCAATATTATCTAATTTGCCATGATATTCCCACACATTTTATTTATAACTATTAATATGGAACTTTTGAAATAATACTTTGGGGGGGGGTGAGGCAAGCTGCAGAAAATTGGCTTAACCCTTGTGTAATAGAAATGCAAGCAAGTTTCTGCTAGCTTTAAAAAAAAGTTTTTCTAGCACCTTAACAGGTTTCTTTTAGAAAATCCTTCACAAAAGTATCCCTTCAGAGAATTTGCTGTAATAAATTTTCCTGCTTTTTATTTGCCTTTTTTTTTTTTTTTTTTTTTATTGAATCTTTGTCTGTTCTAGTTGACTTATGAGCATATTACCAATATATGTCTGTAAACTTATTTTCCCTGCAAAATTTATGATAGTAATATATATGTGTATAATTTTAGGTATTGAAGTAGAAAAGTTAAAGTCTGTCTTAGATTCTGTCGTCTCTAGTGATGAAAAGGTATTTAAAAGTTTGGTTTAATGAACATTGTTAAATGTATGGCTTGCCGGATCATTGTACCTGCATTTTTTAGTTATGAGAAGTAATTTTATTTCTACATTTAATATCTATAATTGTGTGTATTATCATTTTTTGTATAAATGCTATATGAATCTTCTGAAAAGTGAAGTTTTTAAGTAATTCTTTTGTTAAAGTTTTTTGAACCTTAGCTAAATATTTTTATAATCCTCATTTTAATACAGAAGTACAAAGTTAGTATTAATGTGATAGTGCAATTTAAATGTGTCATTAATGATTTTTATGTAATTATGAAATGTAGATGGATTTGAAGTAATGCTTAAAATAAATTTTGTGTGTGTGATATATGAAGTACTATATAGTAAATTTCTGGAACAGGTTTATAATAAGTTAAAACACTAAAATGTTTTAAAAAGTGTTATGCTCAGTTTGTAAACTGTTTCTGCAAGATTTTTGTGTAAATTATGAAGTATTAAACACATAAACTGGAAATTAAATGTTTATTTTAAAAATATTATGAAACATTTTTGACTGTTTTATTGAAAATATTTAATGAATAATTTGAAGGGCTATGTGTTAAACTGAGTTGTTGGTTCCATAAAATTAGCATGTTTCATCAATATGCAAATTGTTGGTTAGTATCCTGGCCTTCATTATAGCTTGCATTTGATAAGATCTAACCTTTGATGAAGTAGGGGGCATTACACTGTTTCATTTAGATCTAATGTGGATGGAATTACAATCAAAATTGGAACGAAGCTATTATGAATCTGAAATGTTCTTTAAATTCAAAAATTTTGGTACTTAATTTCTATTGAATATTTTGAAGTTTAAAAATTTCTTCCTTCTTAAAGACCATTAAGTTTGCACTTATGCTTTTTAGGCATAATAGTTTTCTGTGATTTGTATTTCCTGCTTTTCTGTTTTAAACTGGTTTTAGTAATTATTGGGAAAACTGATAGTGTTCAGTTTTTATACAGAAAAAATATGAATCGGATTTTCCACCCGAAGAAAGAAAAAGTATTCCTTTTTTTTATGTAATAATCTGTTTTCTCCTTTTCATGCTTATACAATTTATTTTAGCACTAATTCTAATTGCTGTTTATTATTGTTACCAGGTAGTTAACAATCATGATGATTTAGCTAATAAGCTGTGTTTGCAAAAAATAGTGGTATAAAGCGAAATTTTATTGTATCCTATTTAAGTAATAGTGTTTTAAAATAGTAGTAGCAACTGGAAATACACTGCTGGCCACCATAAATGCAACACCCTGAAGGAGGCATGCAAATAACATGAAATTTACAACATGCATTAGCAGAGGTGAGATAAGCAAATGATTAGAATTTCAGCACAGACGCACATCACACACGCCTGTGGCGCCACTTCAAAGCGATATTTAAGGCTTGCAGTTTTCGACGATTTCAAGTTTGGCAATTGCGTTTTTTCTTGTGGTTTTTTTTCAAAAAAAAAAAAAAAAAAAAAAAGATCAATTATGCCTCATAGTAAACAGCGATCATCGTTTGATCAAGTATCTGAATTTCGACAGAGGAAGGATAGTGGCTTACCGAGAGTGTGGATTATCTTTCGGGGAAATCGGTAGTCGTGTTGGACGAAACCAAACAACTGTAATGCGAATATGTGACCGTCGGATGCAGGAGGGTTAAACAGAGCGATGTGTTCGATCGCATCCACCTCAGTGCACCACTTCATGTGATGACAGGAACATTGTATGCACAGTGGTGATGGATCGCTCAGTCATATCACGAACCATAGCACAGCACATTCAGTCTGTAACGCATCATCCAGTGTCTGCGTGTACCATTCAATGCCATTTACAGCAGAATGGTCTGTCCGCAAGACGTCCAATGCTTCATCTAGTCTTGACGCAGAACCACGGATGTCTCCGCCACCAATGGTGCAATGAAAGAAGGATGTGGACGGCAGAATGGATTGAAATTGTCTTTACTGACGAGTCACGCTTCTGTCTGCAACACCACAATAGTCGGATTCGAGTCTGGAGACACCGTGGAAAGAGGATGCTGAACAGCTGCGTTATGCACACCTCACTGGTCCTGCACTGGATATTATGGTATGGGGCGGTATTGGATATCACTCTCGCATTCTTCTAGTATGCATTGCCAGTACTTTAAACAGCCAGCGCTACATCTCTGAGGTGTTGGAGCCAGTTGTCCTTCGTTACCTTCAGGGCTTGCCCACAGCCTTTTCAACAGGAAAATGTGTGACCACACATAGCACGCATTGTCCAAAGTTTCTTCATCAATTGCCAGATTGAATTGCTTCCCTGGCCGGCTTGCTCTCCGGATCTTTCGCCGATAGAAAACGTGTGTTCCATGGTTGCTAAACGATTGACCCAGAGTACATTCCAAGCTGCCACACGAGATCAACTTTGACAGCGTGTGGAAGCTGCTCGGTCTGCTGTATCCTAAAAACACATTCAAAGTCTCTTTGAATCAATGCCAAGGCATGTGGCAGCGATGATCTCCAACAATGGTGGCTACTCTGGCTACTGATTCTGGAAGGAACCACACTTCACAGAAGTCTATAAATTTAATCATTTGATACTTGGTCAATATGTTATCTACTAAATAAATTTGTTGTGATATCTCTTGTCTTTCTTGGTGTTGCAATTTGGTTGGCCACCAGTGTAGTTAGATACTGAAATCATGAGGGTTGTAAATTACCATATTGTTTATGTTTTTCTCTTCCCTATGCCACCTGAATTTTTCAGTATAATTAAGAAATATTTAGTTTACCCTCTTGGAAAGTAGACTTCTCCACAAGAAATGATGAGTTCTTGGAATTTCTCATTATTGTATTCTTTGTACGTGAATCTAATAACATTCATTCAGTTGTTTATAATCTATGCCAAAACCATTCCTTCTCCTTTCCCATTGACATAAGGAAAGAAATGAATTGGACACTTTAAGCCACCACCTTTTGAGAATGAATTTCGTGTAGGAATTAATAACAATGAAGGCTGCACCTTTGTGCTTTGGAGGGTTGTGTTTGTTGATGTCCTGTTTCACAAACCACAAAATAGTTGCAGTGATAGGATGTGATCCTACTGCTTTTCTCCCAGGAATATAGCTACAAGTAACAGTAAGATGCACTCCACATTTTTCGTCCTGTATTGATGGATAGAATTTATTCTTGATGAGAATTATTTGTAATAACTGGTAGCAACTTGTAATAACTGGTTTTTAAATTATGTAGCCAAGCTTTCCTTTTACTCATGGCTTATTTCAGTAGTCTCAAACTGGTAGCCTACAGGTCGCCATGTGGCACCATATTTATTTTTGTATTTGTTGCAAAGCTTTCAAGGTTTTAAATGGTTAAAGTCCAAATTTATATTGTATTTATTACCATTAAGAATTAACGTGAATAAGGCAACAGAAATTCTATAAATTATGCTAAATAATTTATTCAAAGATTTAAAGATAACAGAGTTAATTTAATTTCATTTACAGTTGTAGAGTCATTAGGATTTTTTGGAAGCTAGAGAGATGAAAAATATGCAACCGCCTTCGCCGGGAATCGAACCACGGACTTCTGAAATAACGGCCCAGCGTGCAGAACCACTACACCACGAAGGCACGCTAGGGAAGTGGGAGAAATACCTTATATACTCCCCTTTTTAAAGGGCGACTAGGGTTTTAGGGGACCTAGTCACCGAATCCTGGGTGCGGAGAATCATCATCCACAACCCTTTTAATTCGGGCGCCACTTGTAGAGTCATTACTGTTTTTTGGAAGCCAGAGAAATAAAAAATATGCAACCGGGAATCTAACCACGGACCTCTGGAATAATGGCCCAGCGTGCAGAGCCACTACAGCACAAAGGCACACTAGGGAAGTCAAAGAAATACCTCATACAGTTTTCAAAAATAAGTACACTCAGTTTTGAATTTTTGCCCCAACAATAATTGACTTTGGGAATACATTTATATGTGAAGAGCTTTTTTTTCACAGTTGAATGTTAATAAGAACAAAACTCGATAGATTGATGAGTATCTGCAATCCATAATGAAGATAAGTTTTAGCAATTTTCCTCCAGTGTTTAAAAATCATGCAAAATTTATAATTATTTACATCTAAATGTAGGCATTTTTATTTGTGTGTCAAAGAAAAATTTCATAAATAAGAGAAAGAAACCAAATTGTCATTATTTATTCTCAGGTTTTGTTCATCTTGAAAAGTTTTCTCTAAAAACTTAGCTATCATAATTTGTTTATTTTTAATTTAAATTAAAGTAATTTAGTTAATGATTAATTAGACATATTAGAATTACTTGAAATAAATGCCAATCTGAAATAATATTTTGCAGTCAGTTTATTTCAATTTGAAAACTGTAACCAACCATGTCTTGCAGGTACCAAACTTTGGATTTCAGATTGAACATAAATATAAATTTGAATATTTTCCCTTTGCATTATTATTGTTATTGTTTATGTATGTTTTGATAACATTTTAATAAGTGAAATTTAAAATGTAATTAAGGATGTTTTATTTTGAAAGAAAACTCTACCCCATCAACTGTTTTCAAATTGAGTTTGTGTGAGAGATGTTTTAAGTAATAGGTAACAACAACATGTACTGTGGAAATAAAAAATAGTGTTCAAGTGATAACTAACAGTACTGTTGCTAAGCCTGAATCGTATCTGCTTTTTAATTATATTGTAGAGACATTATGTTTTTTTATGAAAGCAGGAGAGATGAAAAATGAGCAATGCCCTCTCTGTGACTAGATCCCACAGATCTCTCGAATATGCATCGAACGTGCTGACCACTACACCACAAAGACATGCTAAGAAGGCGGGAGAAATACCTTATATACCCCCTTTTAAAGGGTGACTGGGGTTTGGGGGACCCAATCACCAAATCCTGGTGTTCGAGAATAATCATCCACCACCTTTTTTAGTTCGGGTGCCACTGTAGAGAAATTAGTTTTTTAAGCAGGAGGGATGAAAAATGAGGAATGCCGTCGTCGGGACTTGAACCACGGATGTGGTTGTGCTGACCACTACACCGTGAAGGCATGCTAACAAGGCAGGAGAAATACCTTATAGTATGACTTCTTTCAGGAATGTTATGCACTCTGTGTTATTCTCTTTCTGTTTTCAAGTGATGAAATTGGAGGGAAAAAAAGGATTGCTATGTGAATAAATATGGTACATAATTTTCCAATTTTGTTTTACTTTTCAGAAAAAAAAGGAATAAAAATATTTTGGCTATTTTGTGTTTATTTTTCCAGCAATAGAAAAAATTAAATACTAAAAAATTTTTTTTTTAATTCAGTAGGCATGTAACAAAAATTGTGCTAATTAAATTATTGTATTATATGTTTCTTTGAAGAAATGCAGCAACCTAAAAAATACATGGTTATCTTCAGCATAAATCTGGCCTATTATTATGCTGTGTATAGAGGCAAATTTTGTAATTGCACTTTTGAGGGATATGTCTCCATGTCCGCAGAACCTATTAATTTTGATTTACTTGCCTGGGAGAGTATCTTCACATGGCATACAAATATGCTGGCTTAGCTCTCTCAGACCAAGTTTTATGAACAATCGTACTAAAGATTCTGTTGTTATATTAGCGGTGTGAGTATCATGTGTAAAGATGCTGTTTAAAACAGCCTGTCTGAAAGTTATCAATGTTACCAAGTTTTACTAACCTATTTTCATATTACTGAGCTTTTCTTGCTGCAGAAATGATAGCAAATTCTGGCATGTTTGCATATGCAATGACCTTTCATTTATCCATACCAAATATTGCAGAAGAATGCCTCTGAATATATCTCTTTTGTGTTTCAGACAGACTACTAATTTTTATTCAGCTGATCATTGTTTGTCATGGCTATTTTTGTTCTTCATCTATCACATCTGTTTGCAGTGATAGGCTGATTATTACACATACTGTGTAGGTTACCTGAATCTTCTAATTAGTAACATATCCGGCTACTTACTTTAACTAGAAACGTTTTTGTGATGCTTGTTACTTCACTGTCAGACTTTTAATTTCTAGTGTGTTGGTCATTGTCTGCCAGAGAAACAATTAAAGAATCAAGTCTTGTTTTTTTTTTTTTTTTTTTTTTTTTTTTTGTCTCTCTTATGGCTCCTTTTCGTGGTAATTTGACTAACTTCAGTGCATTATTTCATCAGGAAATCACTTTGAACATTTTGAACCTCCAGGAAGCTCCTGTGGAAATCCATTTGTCATATCCAGTGTTATAATGAACTCTTTTTCACTAATTCGTTTTCTTTCTCCCCTCAAATGCAAACACCTGCATATAAGAGGGTGTAACATTTTATTGCAGAATTTCTTTTCATAACAGTTAAATACTGGATTTGAACTTATAAGCAACTCTGAATTCCTAAAGCATTTGATTTCTTTATTATGAGTACATGATGTAGTTCTAAATTTGAGTCTTGTCCTGTAATGTACTCTAGATAAGTATAAAATCTGCAAAATTTTGCTTGTTGTTTCAATTTCATAAAAATATTATGTTTGTTATGTATTTAAAACTTGTGCATTATGCTTAGTACTTTTTTTTTTTTTTTTTTTTCTTTTTGTAGGACCAAAAAATCGAAGATCTACGATCTTCCTTAAACAAGTACAAAAAACTGCAAGATATTGTACACTCAAATCATTCTAAGAAAAGTAAATTTATTTGCTGATATTCATAAAGTTTATTAATTTCATTCTTTATTGTCATATATATTATTTGCCATGAAAATTTTTTATTTCATGTTAAACTTGAAAATTAGTGTGCTTGTTTACAAATATGAAATTATGGAAGTGTCAGAATAAATTAGCAATAGAAATTTTGAGCAGATGGACTTAAATGATAGTGATTTTATTCCTTAAAAAATTATTTCTGGTGTAATTTTTTGTAAAATGTGCATGCTTTTTCACATGTAAAGTGTTAGCATTTTGCTCCTGAAATGTTCAAAGTATTGTTTTATAATTGTTAAATAACAGTGTGCAATCTGGAAGGAATTTGTCCCATTTCTTCTGCCACTTGTCATGTTTCCAACAAAAAAAAGCATGATGGATGTGTTGTATCATCAGCTCATGATGGCCGACAAGAGAATGACAGACCTATTTTAACATCAGCAATCAATTAGCAAGATCACCTAATGTCATAAAGAATACAATGGCAAATTATGACATGAGCACTATAAAATTATTTATATTATGCATAGTGTTTAAAAAATGCATGACTAAACATACTGAAAGATGCTACTGGTCACACTATGCATAAAATTAACTGTTAATGCAGTAGCTTCCCAGCTCTTCTATTACAGATAGTTTGCATACTTACATGCCTGTCTATAGTGGTAGTTCATCTTGAACTTAAATCCACATGAACAGGCCAGCTCCGTGGCAGCAGAGCTTTCATGGTTTTCTTCTTGAATACCATGAGTATAATTCAGTGTCCCTTAAAACAAGCTCCTTGAAGTCATGCCTTTTTTATAATCTCCTTATGCTTTGCTGAAATCTAAATAATCCAGTCTGGCCGTTAAGAAAGATGAGCAATTATATGCCCACATGCAGAGAAATCAAAGAGGGTAGTTCTAGAGTCAGTGGTATTCTTTTGAAGCTGTAACTTCAGTCGTTTGAATGGTTATTTGTAGGCCTCCAGGAATGAATGAAATAAGGCAGATATTCAGACTACAGAAACTATAGTCATGTGATATCTTTGGTAAAAGTATACAAAATTTTATACAACCAAGATAGAAACATTATCTATCATAAAGTTATTCATCACAGCTGACTTAGGTGCACAACGTTCCATCCTTATGCAAGCAAAATTACATGGGGTATTCATTAAAAAATTGGGAAGAAACTATAGAGGTATTATTGGCATGATTAACGACAGCTAAACGTAATACATTTTCAAATGAAAATTTCTCAGTTATCATTTGAAAAAACTTTGTAAGACATTTTTCCGAAATTACTCTTTGCAGGAATGCTAAAATTTAAAATTTTCGTGTAATAAAATTCAGTTTCATAATTTTTTTAAAATCATTTTTATGTCAGTTGAAAAGAAACACAAATTTTGCAAATTTTTCTGTGCCAGCTCCTCATAATCTGAGCCGATTTTAATGTTTGAAATCTCAATAATCTAGTCTTTTCAGATATTTAGTCTTTCACATTTTGCTACCCTGGAATTTATCACCTTTGCATCTTAGCAAATAGCCATTTCTGGAAGGTGCCACCTTTAGACACCTAACTGATTGATTTTAAATCTATGTATTTAGTAATTTATATATTTTATTTTTGAGTTCTCTCACCAATAATGTTTATAAATATTGATATCATTATAATAATTAAAGACATTTCTAACACCATATGCTTTAGATGGCCAATAATCTTTTGGTCCTTGAAATCATTCAGTTATTACTTGTCAACAGTAAAAATATTATGGCTTTATTGAGTTTTAGCCACATACTGGCAGCAGGTTTCCTCACTGTTAAAGAAAACTACCACTTTTTTTTATCACTTCTGTAGCTGTTCTCAATTAAAACTTCAGTTGCATGCATAAATTTATTTACTTATTTATTTTTAGCCATGCAAGGTTGTAGAAATTCAGATTTTGGTGATAAATCTTCTGTTAATGGGACAGCAGCCACAATGTATGTTTGTGCTTCAGTGATAGGAACCTAACACTTCAAAGTACATCAAATAGTGTTATTCATCATGCTTTGATCAAGACGCATTTTGATGTGTGATATTTCAAGAAAAGAGCGACTTTGATATGCCATTTGCTAAATGATGAAGGGTTCTGCTGTTAACTTCTTTCAGGAAAAAGGGAATTGTCCATGTTGAAAAACATTATTCAAATAATACAGGAGGAAATTATGTTTTAGTGCTAATGCAACACAAAAGTAACACTGCAGCCCCAAAAAAGAAAGGGTTGTGAATTCGAAATGTGTTTAGGGGAATAATTTAAAATTATGTTCTGTGTTAGTAAGGTTATCATTACTGTTACAGGCAACATTTTGCTGCAAAATATAGATTTATTCACATGATTACTGCATGGCTGCTGTTCTACTACAAAAACAATTTTTTTAACTAATTATAAGGATATATTTTTATACAAAACTTACTGTGATACTTTTTTGTTGTCTCTAAATGGAGAGGGTTGTAAATAAGCTCATGATTTTTCTTTAAGTAAAAACGAAAAACCGAATTAAGAAAAACAAAACCGCGTAGCTGATTAAGAAGTAATTACTATTTAATTTTAGAAGGTAGGAACATAAAATGAAACATCTTGAAAGTTTAAAATTTAACTGTAAATTGATGCTTGAAAAATAAAATACATTTTATATAATTTTTGTCCTTATATTCTTTTTGCATAAAATTATAATATATTTAATATATATTTCTCGTAGAAAAATTGAAATATTTCTTTCAGTGTTTTTTTTTTTAATTTATTTCAGTTCTTGTATAGTCTAAACCTAATTTTTATTTTTTTTTAATTATTTATCATCTGAAATCCGGAAACCTTTAAAATTCATATACCTCGGTCCCATGCTGATTTTGTGGTCATCTTCTGTATTATATACCTCAGTACTGAATAATTATTTGCATGTTAGTATCTTATAGTGTGGTTTCTTTTTGTGATAAATAAATGTAATAGGGCAGGGAATAAATTACTAATTAGAACTTTCTTCATTGGCAGCCTGTATAAAAGTTAATATACTTTATTTAAATTTGTCAAATGATTAAATTTGTTGCAGCTTGAAGGCCTATTTTATCAGATTTATTTACTAAACTGGAGCCATGGGTATTTATGCCCAGGAGTTTAAGAGAAATTTTGTCATGTAGCCTTTTTAAAACATGAAAAACACTGCATACTTATTAAAGCAGTACACTAGTGTAAAGTTTAGCTCTGGAACTCATCAGGATTATGAATGAGAACATATGCTGCATAATTCCAACACTTAATGAACAAAAGAAGCATAGTTTTCCTTGCAGCGCTACATTAATGATGACATGTAATGCGACATTTCATCTATTAGTTGAATTCTTGCACTATTTTTTTTTAAATTTATTTTGCATCTTATTAAAATAATCTACAATAATCCTGTTTAGTTATGTACAGCTTGCAGTTGAATGATATGACTATAATAGTTTAATTTTTAAGTAATTCTCTTATAAAGTAATAGAATTGTCTTTTGGGGGGTCCATCTCTCAATATGGTTATCTCAATATTATTCCTCATTTCATTTCTGGTTTATAAAATTTGACAATGAACGATATTTTTTTTTCAATGTCAATTTTTAAACCATGACATTAAATTGTACTCGCTCAAAAACTAGCAGTAATATCAGGAAGCAATAAAATGTTTTTTCACTTCTTATACTAGAAAAAATAGGCAAAAATTAACAAAGCTGTTCAAAAGTCAAATCATAAATGGAATATAAACTAAAATTAAGATAAAAGAGGGGGGGAAAAACCTGTTGTGTGTAAAAAAAAAAAAAAAAAAAAATTACACAGTGTCTAAAAGTCATGAAACTAATCGGAAACTTTCAGAAAAACAGATGTCTGTTTCTCACTTAGCCTCCCTTTGAATACAAAATACGCTTTTCAGCCAGATTGCTTCTGTTGCTTTAAAAAAGCCAAAACATGAATATTTGCTTTATTTAAGTGTCTTTATTATTGGAAGCATGTGTCTAATACCTCTGGTTGTGAAATTAAAGACCAGAACTTTTATGGTCATCGTATATAGATGAGACCTTAAATTCCACTGGGTTATGATTTATTACTTTCTATATCTGACAAATTTTTTGTTGACCTCTTCAAATAAAGTAATTAATAGTTTTGACATGTAATTTCTCTAATATTTAAATATGTTTTTAAACTTTATAGTGGCTGATAATTCTGGTAGTGCTCATTTGTACGAAGATGATTTCATGTCATCATCATCCATTAGTTGTGATGCCAAAGTAAATATTTTTTATTGTTCTTTTAACATTTACTACGATCATTACTATAAAAATTCTGTCTGTTATGCTTATTCTTAAAGGAATTGTTCATTGTTGTACAAGTAAATAAAGGAAGAGGTTCAATGTAAAAATTAGCACAGATATGCATAAATGAATGCTTATTTATTAAACTGAAAACAGTTATTTACCTCAAGTGTATACTGTGATGGTACTTATTTTTAAAATGTGTTATTTAACTTTATCTTATTTTCAAATGAGTATGTTATTACATACTCATTTGAAAAGAATTTGAAGAAGTAATGTAAGTATTTCTCTTCATTGCTATGTGGAGTCACATATAAATGTAAAAACTGATGAAATTTATTTAGAACAATCTGCAGAAAAGTCAATAGAAGTTTTTGACATGGTAACAAAAAATAGCTTTTGAAAAATGCATTGCTTGATATAATAACAGTATGGTATCATGGATTTGAAAATAACTGAATAGGAAAACTGGGCTGCCAAGAACCAATAAGTGGGGGATATTTTTTTCTTCCTCAAATTCCCATTTTCAAGAGGGAGGTGTTTTTATGTTTTATTTATCGCAAGCTGTCCAAGCCTGTTAAGAGGCCTAACCTCCCCTCCAGTTTGAGATATCTGCTTGCTGCTTTTGACAGTGGAACTATATAAAAGTTACTCAGAATGTTCTAGTACTTCTGAGATGAACAAAGAAATTTGTAATGCGTAGTTGGCTTCATTTTATTCTTAAAGAAACTGAAGGAGCTCACTGAGAAATTAACTGTAGATGGTGAATCATGTTTTTAATGAGGTGAAGAAAAAGATATGGCTATACAGATATAGTGTTATATATATAGCTGCAATCAAATGCTAGTTAATGTTGATAAAACTGGATGTGAAATGCAGCTGAACAGATTCTGAATAAATGGATAAAAGTAAGAGATTTCAGTGCAACACATTTTTGTGTGTTAGGAATTGTGGCCAAGAGGATGCTAAAGCAGTACCAGGTGGTGAGCAAACCAAATTCCTGAGACTACAGATACCTTGAATGATGCAGATATATCAGTCAACCGATTATATACATTATTTACTATGGCCAGTGAAATGTGAAAAATGAAATTTGTAGTTATATTCAATTTTTTGCACTAGTATATTTTTTTCTCCTGTAAGATGTATTAAATTATTATAATACATTAATTTACATATAGTACATACATATTATATGTGTTACATTGCGCATAATGTGCCTTAATAGCAATTCCTGTCTGTTTATGTTGATACTAGCTGTATTGCATCTTTCAGTTATGGGTTATCTATATTCTTCAGAAATAGCTGGTATTGTCTAAGTTTAACTGAATGCATGCAGTAAGCTCATTTGTAGAGTTTTAGGGCTACACAACTAATTTCACATGGTTGCTTTGATTGGTGTCAAGTCTGGCTATCTACGTACAGAGAGAACATCGCAGAATAAGTTATGGCTGTCTAGTCCATTTGTGCAGCTGAAAGTGATGTTACCAAATTTTGCCACTGCATATTATTTCTTAAACAAATTAGTGTAACAAAGCCATCCCAGTGGTATTTTGGTTGTGAACTCACAAATTTATCGTGTAGTTATTATATTTTTTCTGGTAGAGAGTGTATGTATAAACTCTGAAATAGCCTGAAAGTCAAAGAAATATGCAGTTAATAATGTCAAATAAAGGGTGTCCACCGAAAACATCACAGAGAAAGCAATGCAAAGTAAACATCATGGAAAGTAAAAAAAGTAAGGAAAACATTGCGGTTCTAAACCTTCATAGTATAAAGCATTGTTGAAAATAAAGTGGTTAAGAAACATTGCAGTTTTAAAACATCATCGTAAAAAAATAAAGCACCTACAAATCATCGCATGATGAGAACATCACAAGCGTTTTTCAGGCTTTAAGAGCTACAAATGCATAATGATTTCTAAGCACAAGTAAGAGTGAGGAATAGAGTGTGAACCTCTTTCATATTTTTGGATTACTTAATAATTGTTTGCTAAAAAGGCAAGAAGGAAACTTTAGCATTCAATAGACACAAATGAGTGGAAAATTAATGCTTCATTTAGCAGTTAATAGAATTTTAAATTTATGTACTTAACTATTAAAAGTTATTATTTAATTCATCTTTTTTTAAAATTGTACTTGCAGTTTTTTGTAAAAAATATAGTCTAAGAAGTTAGAAATGGTAAGATGAGTAATTGCATGTTGTTATCTATAGTAAAATTGTTTAATTAATCATCAAACTGTAAAAGTATTTTCTTGTACCTTTGTTTAACGTACGGCCTGCAGCATTTGGATGTTAGACAAAACACATCAGGAGGGAGCTGCATAATATTTCAGTAGGAGACTTGGATGTATTGGATTATTGTAAAGCACAGGTCTTGAGGGTCTCTCTGCTTAAGGGGAGGACTTTCCCAGGTACTGCCTGGCTTCCACGTTATGTATCAGGAAAACCACAAAAATCACAACCTGTAAGTTTGTTTGCTGGGTCAAACCAGTGTTCAGCAACTGTACCCCTCAGGCAGTGTTTGCATTTCAGGAAGGAAATATTAATGGAAACTGCTTCATTTTTTATATCATTTATTGAGAATGCTCAAATTTAAAATTATACTTAGAAAATATAAGCTCAGATTTTTTTCAGAAAGAATATATAATTACAGTGAACTCTTGGCAACAATCTCCTAAGACATTCAGTGTGTCTCAGAACATAAATAAAGATAGGTATTAAACTATTCCTCTCCAAGATGACCACAAGACTCCAAGATGACTTAAAAAGAAGTGGAACCATGAAAGATCGCTTTGGAAAGAATTTTTTATATTTAACTTCATGTTTAGACATTTTCATAAATAACTTAAACACATTATTAATTTTTTTCAGGTACATTCTAAAATTTTTTAGTTATTCTTTCAACTTTTATAACACACAGGGAGCCATATTGTTTAAACTTTTATAACATACAGGGAACCATGTTGTTTAAACTTTTTTAACAATACAGTGAACCATCTTGAATGCTAAAATGATTGGAAAATGGGAAAAGTGGCCAGTATAGATGTGAAATTTAGGTATCAAATCTCATCTTTTTAAGATGACAGCTTCATAGAAGGTTAAATTATTTAGAACTGATTTAGCTTTCCTGTTTAGATAATTTTTATTTCTTTTAAAAAGCATTTAATTTTTTGATATTTTATTTGAAAAATTTTGAACTATTTCTTAACACACAGCGAATCATCTCGAAGGGACATTCTCTGGAAGTGACTAATAATTTGTTTAGATGTCTGTAGATATATTTTCTACTGATTGTTAAACACTGGTTTCATGTAGGCATAAGCCATCTGTTTGTCATTGTCATTCTGGCCCAAACATCGTTTTACATTTTGGTAATTGCAAACAGTCACAACATAGTTGAATTTTAAGTTTTCCATGAGCTAAAAAATATCAACAAAGCAATTTAATTTATTTTTAGTATATCTCGAAACAATTCTGCTAGTTTAAGAGGTATGAGCACTTTTTATGCATAGTGCTGAATATATTGAATATATAATAAGAGTTAAATTTAAAGTTCTAGGTTCATTTATGAACAATAATATTTTTACCGAAAAAAATAGTAAATAGAATTTTTAAAATCAGAATCATTTATTCTTTGAGAGGCTGTATGCAGTTAAAAAATTTAATTTTTTAAAAGATAAAGGCACAACCAATAGATATCGTATTAATGAGAAAGAGATGGAGAACAGCAGCCTTGTGGGGTTTGGTGAGGGAACCGAAAGCAATGGGAAATCAGTGAAACATATTTGGAAAGTAGAATTACACAAAACCACAGTACTTTTTAGGTATCATATCATTACCTGTTATTTGTATGGTACTTACCTTTTAATTTCTTTTTATTTACATGTGTATTTTATTATTTATATAAAGCTTTATTTAAATACATTGAATCAAAAGGGATTTTATAATCTTTGTGTATAAAGAGAGATACAATTTTTAAAATTATTTTGCTAAATCACAGCATGTTTCTGTAAAATCTGTTATTCTTTCTTAACAATATAAAGAAGTATGTAGAAAAATTAATACATATAGCACAATTCTGAAAATGCACTTCTTGAAATTTATATAATCAAAAATAACTTGGTTGTAGAAAATCATGTTCAGTATTTCTTCGGTTCTATATATTTTTCAGTCTCAAAGACAAAATTTCAGATTGGATGTTTTATCATACAAGTAATAGGGAATTTGATCTTAATTGAATAAAGTGGCTTTCTAATCATTCCAAACTAGAATTTCCATTATTTATATACAAAAACATTTGAGGAGCATAAAAAAAACTGCAATATGGATATTGTAAAAGTAGAATCTTTAGTTCATAAGTGGTGACCAATAGTAGTTTACAATGCACAAAAACAAAACCCTATATGTTATTTAAATAAATAATATTCTTTTTTCATTCAAACACTGCATTAAAAATACTATGTGGCTGATATTAGCCCCCCCCCCCGAAGTTTTATATGACTTTTAAATTATTTACATCATAATATTCTTAACATTAGAAAATTTGGGTATTTTAAAATGACTGTAAACCAGAGTTTTTGAAAATGACAATATTTATGCTTTGGCCATGTTTAAATAATTCAGCTGACATTAGGCATTAAGAAGATGGTAAGATGAAACTTTTCATTCAGTGGAAGTAAAAGTCATGCACGAAGGCATTAAGAAGATGGTAAGATGAAACTTTTCATTCAGTGGAAGTAAAAGTCATGCACGAACAGAAGCCTCAAACTTACTAGTTAAAACTTCTTAGGGATAAGTCGACTCAAAATTAGGTCTCACTCAGAAATATAAATACCATGTTGCTATGAATTTCTGGTATGATTGTGTATAAATTAAGGTACTTAGAAAACCTAGAAATTCCAACCAAAAAGCATTAACAAAAGAAATTAAAGACTACAATCAGTATTTTTATTCTAATTACTAATAGGAGCCAC